TATACGCGTGACTTAGGCTACAATGAATACAACTCATATAAGGATTTTTATCTTTCAGTGTAGTTTCCGTTGCATTTATATTAAAATTTGCAACTTGGACATAAAAAGGAAAGGTCTCTTTTTATGTCCAAGTGTACAATAATAATGAAATGTTTTATAAACCTTCTCATCAAACCTAATACTAAAGAAAGCAACATATGGTTTGGAATTTATGACACTGACCTGTTTAATACATCATTTAAGATTTTACCATCATTTGTACATATAGTGCCATTTTTCTTTAGAACAATATCTAATATCTACTTTCAACAAATCTTATCTGATAAAATGTCATGATATCTTTCAACATTCCATTCATTCTACTAGCTTTCTTTTATAAGAGTAGATAGGATAAATTTCGTATTATTTAGCTACAATTCAATCTTGTCTTGTTATATAGTGTCTTCTTTGAAGAGAACATTCAACCATGATCTCATTCAAACGTTTATTTCATTTTAGTTTATGTTATTTATTTATTTATTCATTTTTTTTTAAACTATTTAAATTTACGTGTTTTTTTAATTAAAGAATCAAGTGGGATGATTTTGACATGCTGTTTAGGCCACAGATCTGAGCTCTAAATTTTTAATCAATCCGAACTTGAGACCCGAAAAAAATGCTTTCGGGAGGGGGGGGGGGTCACAATTTATTTATTTTTTATCACAGGAATTTTCCCCTCCACCCCCATGACTTTAATAATGACGTCCTCAAGTTGATGAAATATCTGTCTGAGAAAATGAATTTAAAAAATTCGTTGAACTGCAGCTTTTTAGAACTTAACTTACCTTGTTATTCTAGTTGTAGCAGTGGTTATCAGAGGTATGAATTAGAGTATCTGAAATTTCTGTCATGGTCATCCTCAATGTGAAAGAATCCCAGCGTTTTTCCTGTCAAAAAAAGTCACAACATAAACGTAGATCAGCCACGCCCTGCCCTTTTGACCTTGTTAGGACAAGTAGCGTAAAATACCCTGATATGGATCTAGTGGCGCCCAAATTCTTAGTTTGAGATCCGTCAGATACCTAAATTAAAAAAAAAGATACCGTCCGCTTGATTTTGTTTCATAAGTCGACGGCATGTCATTTCTTACTTAAACTATAAAAAAGATAATGACTTAACGATCGCTACGTGGGCCGTTTTCTCGAAGCTACAAAAAACAAACTGTTGATCGAATATAAAGCAAATCTCCAAGGAAACACTGCCAATAATCAATGTAAGTGTGGTAAAGTAGTTTCACCAGAATCAATTGATCAAACACCATAATTAGCCAGAAACCAATCAAATAAAAGACACACATCAAAAATTGACGACTACGGATACAAATGTTCAACTTGACAAAGAATGAGTCAAAGTTACGTATTGATTCCAACCAAAGCGGGCATGTTGTGAAAGTTTTGATCTGTACAAAAACATATTGATGGATACTCGACCAATACTTTTGTGACCAAAAGGTCAAACATTTTTTTATTAACCTCTGAGGTAATTTGAAATTTGTTTCTCCTCCTTCACGTTGTCTCACTGGGGCAGGTGCGAAGTTTCTCGATACAGCACACAATACTGAATAAAATCGTGAGGTGAATAAAAGTTAAAATATATACCCGTCACAAATGCTGCATATAGCAGGATTTATCATTTACCCCTCGCAAATCAAACTGAATTAATTGGCTTGCTCAAAGGAAACACTATAACTACTTAATCAGACTCTAAGTGAAATGCAGCATTTCACAAGAATCAATTGATCAAACGCGATAATTAGACAAATATCAACTGAATAAAAGACACACGTAAAAATTCCACTTGACAAAGTTTGGGTCGATGTTTGCTGTTGATTCTAACAAGGAGTTATAACAGAAGGAGATTACACGCGTGGGGGCGGAGCCCTTATTACGGTCTCTCGTTGGTCGGAATGAATAGAACCCAGAGAACAATGGATGCCTATCTCTGTTACGCTTAATTGTTGCTCTCGTTTAAATCTCGTTTGTTAGTATCTGTGCCTTCGTCTGTTGATTTTTGAGGACAGAAACAGAAACGGAGTCCAAGTTTCTAAAAAATGAGAGAAATACAGAATTTATCAGATATTACGTTGGACAAGGTTTTCAAAAAACAGGTAAGTGCTTTTAAATGCATAACTACACGAAATATGAAGATAAATTGCAACTTTTATGTCGTAGGGTCTCACTGTGTAAGTGTCCAGCTACACGTTGATCTCGCGAAGTGGTGTGTGTAGAATAAATATTGCACGAAAAATATTTCCCACTCATAACAAGTGCCTATAAATATAGTATCAGATGAAGAAAATTTGGTCTTTATACANAGCTAGCTCCGCCCACCGTAACAGACATCGGACAATAGAGAGGCTTGCGTGTAATCTCCTTCTGTTATAACTCCTTGATTCTAACCAAAGCGGACCTGCTGTAAAAAGGGGTTTTGCTCTGTAGAGAAAAATATCGATATATACGCGTCCAATACTTTTATGTGACCCAAAACTTTGCATTTTAACAATTACAGTAGCTAATATCCCGTGTGAATAAAATACTAGGGTAAGGGGACAACTCAACTTATGGGGTTTTGAAGTGGTTCAATAAATTTCACAACATAACATTTAAGTGGGGCACTGTTTGTAAACATGTTGTGCATTTCACACTATTAAAACTTGAGATTAAAAAGTGTAATTATATGCACTGCCCGGTTTGGACTTATCATCTTTACGGCAGAAGTGTCAGTATTGGGTGGATAGTTTACAGTATGGTGTCAATTGTGTTCGCTGAGCATCACAATTATCGCTTTCACCTTTTGATGCATTTCAGCAACATAAGGATTGCGATAGCGGTGCCAAGTACTGCTGATGCAATTGAAATCAGAAGACGGTTTACTTTATCATCTCATACTGCCTCCGTGGTATTCATGTCTGGGATGTCATAGTGAAACTCACTTGAAAGTCAGCTTGGTAGGTGGACTTCTGAAATGGTTCTAATGTTATTTTTAATCTATACATCCAAATCTAGGACTATGACTGCTCCTGGATAGAAATTAGTAAGAACCAGTGCCTATCTATCGCTTATGAAAACAAACACGGACTTGGACTTGATTTAATTTAACTGAAATTCACGGCATAGGGGACAGAACTCCAATAACTATAAAAATGACGCCCTTAGTTGTATTTATATTTGATACGCAACGTGTATGGAACTTTGAAAGATAGTTGCATCTGTAAATGTGTTACAAATTTAAAATAAATTTAGACATTATCCTTTTCTAAATGACTAACAAAAAAGGATTATCTTTGCTTATAAAATTCATTCCAAAATAGATCTGCATTTCTACTACACAGAGGGATAGAATAAAAGTTATAAAGATGAACAGGTCCAGTGAAGTTTCTCAAAGATTAAATTTTATAACATTTCTTAGCATATTTGACCCAGAATTATCCTTTGTCTTTTCAGTTTTTTCAGTTTCAGGGGTAAGCAACCCATTTCTGCGTGTGGTATGCTGGTTTGAGACGTTAATTCCCAGAAACTCCAAGAATCCATCTGCTGTATAAGTCTGATTGAAAATATGTCGTGAATATGTGTCAACGATGGACTGAATACTTCGTTTATGTACATGGAGGACTTCATATGATATCTCTCCATATATTTCACCTTAGGTTTTTGGTTCACATTCACGGCNCTTTCTTTTGGCCCAAGGAACATTTATGCCAAGTTAGACATTTGTACTATAAAATGCAGCGTTTGACCTCTTAACAAGCCTACTAATTTCTGCGTGTGGTATGCTGGTTTAAGACGTTAATTCCCAGAAACTCCAAGAATCCGTCTGCTATATAAGTCTGATTGAAAATATGTCGTGAATATGTGTCAACGATGGACTGAATACTTCGTTTATGTACATGGAGGACTTCATATGATATCTCTCCATATATTTCACCTTAGGTTTTTGGTTCACATTCACGGCGTAAGTCAAGAAGTTGTCTAGTACAAACTGAAAAAGTTGTGGCAGAATGGTTGCATATACATTGATCATTAATGTTTCCACATCCTTAATAATTCTTTGCCAGCCACAAGCAATTAAACTGAAATCTTGGCTAAATTGGCAATACAATAGAGGCAAAAAGTCTGTAAACATCTCAAAGTCTGTACAGTTGTTTTGATGTTATAATGCAAATATCTGTTTTCATTCACTAGTAAAATCTGGGTTGGATGGGTGATATGACTTATCTTATATACACAATATACTGATGGTGCACGATTAATGAATTACTAATATATGAACCAAGACCTTGTACACTATATTACAATAGAGGTACTGACAGACTATACACAAACATAGTATAATGACGGGGTTATACACAGAGGAACTGCTCGCCAATGTCACTTCTCCAAAATGTCTATGAAATCACGCTCTCCAGTCTTAATAAACAATTTCTGCCAGTACATGTATTCACATGAGAAGAAGTTAAGATCAATGTTTCCACAGCATTGAAATACTTTGACACTATGTTCAGTTATATTTACAAAATCATATCCAGTATCCATCATAACATCGCCAGGTTTGAGAGTGTTAAAAAGCTCCCATTTGCCTTAACTCTACAGGGGAACAATGCTGATGTAATACAATACATGTACCTCTACAGTGTGTCTCTGCCTCCAGAACTAGGAGTTGTACTGGTTTTGTATTTACAAACCAAGATAATCCATAACAACACTGATTGGAAACACATTATACAATATATAAAATGTACGTCACTGTCATATTGTATCACATACTGATCAAATAAGGGTTCACCATCGTCCATGAAATTGGATATCTGCTGTAGTAGTGGGTCACAGTCACCAGACAGTAATGATCCAATAAGACATAGTGTTATCAATGTCATCATCCATGGAATTGGATATCTGCTGTAGTAGTGGGTCACAGTCACCAGACAGTAATGATCTAATAAGACATAGTGTTATCAATTTCATCATCCATGGAATTGGATATCTGCTGTAGTAGTGGGTCACAGTCACCAGACAGTAATGAACTTTTTATCAGAAAATGTCACCACCAGTGTCATCTTACCGGAGAGAGGAATGTAGACAGTCATCCTCAGACAGCAATAAGAATCATGACCTGGAAGACAGAAACAAAAAGCGCCTATCACACATTAAAAATACATACTATCAGTACGATGTCATTTTTACACCAGCTTTTATATTCTGTTAGAAGATTTAACTTGGACATAGAAATGAAATATTCCTCCTTCAAAGTTAAGTGCCTTTTAAAAGTAAATATTTTACAACACTACAAAGGATTTATACAAACCAAGAGTCCCATGTGAAAATATTAAACTTATTTTTTCATTAAACATCCAGGTATTAGTTCATTACCTTTTCAGCTGCTCTGCTAGAAATCCCTGTCCATTCTTCTCCAGACATCTACATAGACATTGGAACGCCCTCTTCTCTTTGGTAAGCAGAATACTGAGCAGTGTTCTTGTCTGTTCAGGAGACACCACTCTGGCTGCTGCTGCTGCCCTCTCAACCTCCTCTGTGCCCCCAGTAGACGGCTTAGAACGTACATACTCCTTCTCTCTGTCAGTGATGATGTCTTCCTGTATCAGCTTGTCCAGCAGGTAACTCAGGCATGGCGTGGTAATGTTACTGACCAGCAGCTCCATGTGCTGTTTCAGGGCACGCTTTTGGTGATGTTTCATGGCAGTGAAACCTGAATATTATAAACAGCAAAGACATGAAAAAAGTGACCTGTATTATAAGGTGTAGATTGCATTTGATCAATGGCTNCATTACCTTTTCAGCTGCTCTGCTAGAAATCCCTGTCCATTCTTCTCCAGACATCTACATAGACATTGGAATGCCCTCTTCTCTTTGGTAAGCAGAATACTGAGCAGTGTTCTTGTCTGTTCAGGAGACACCACTCTGGCTGCTGCTGCTCCTGCTGCCCCCTCAACCTCCTGTGTGTCCCCAGTAGACGGCTTAGAACGTACATACTCCTTCTCTCTGTCAGTGATGATGTCTTCCTGTATCAGCTTGTCCAGCAGGTAACTCAGGCATGGCGTGGTAATGTTACTGACCAGCAGCTCCATGTGCTGTTTCAGGGCACGCTTTTGGTGATGTTTCATGGCAGTGAAACCTGAATATTATAAACAGCAAAGACATGAAAAAAGTGACCTGTATGATAAGGTGTAGATTGCATTTGATCAAAACAGCTCCTGAAGGGATAAATAAATGAAAGAACTAGGCACATTTTAGCTACACAGTTTTTTATGCAATATAGTTCTATCTACACATATCCCCAAAGGATTCATTGGTTAGGTAAACTGTTGGAATGTACACCATTAGTTGGACTGGGGTAATATCAAATATCTTACCTGGCATATAGGGATATATTAGGTCTGCTGATATTAGTTCCCCAGTTTTCCAACATGGCACCAAGTGAACAGTTATGGCTGGTTTCTGGTCAATCACTTCACCAGGGAACAGGGTCGGGGGCTCTACATGTAGACTTGTACAGTGAGGACACACCAGGCACTTGTCACGTGGTAAGCCAGGCCAATCTTCCTCCAGGATGTCCATAAGGTGATCATGGTTTTGGAGCAGTGTTCTCCACAGGTCTGGGAGATGTTGACCTCGGACAGCAATGGTGATCACCCAGTCTCTGTCCGTCTGGCTTCTGGTCATTTGCATGCAGTGTGATGCCATGTCCACAAATACCCCATCTCTCCAGTCTCTCCTCATAGGCTGAAAGTGTCCCAGGGTTGAATGAAGGCGCACTGACAATTTCTCATAGAGACCATCAGGACAGCGATATGGGAAATACACATTCAGGGTAAGCTGTGTACTGTCCTGTGGTACTGAGTGAGGCCACTTGGTGTCCATGATTGGTGGGCGGCTTTGTTCCAGTAGCCATGGAAAGTGAAACGTGTAACCATCTTTGCCCTCGTTCGCCTTGAAGCATAATTCCAGCCTCTGCATGAGCTCCACCATTGCACTGGTTTCTCTGGCTGTCAAACCAAATGGTTCCCATAGAGCCTCCATCACCTGCACAGAGAGAATTCCTCTCATGATGAAATCTTCTTTAATTCTCTCTGCCATTGGTTCACTGACGATGATTTGTTTTAGAAACTCAAATTTATCCTTATCGTGGTTGAGGACTGCCTTGAGGAGATCAGCTAGAACGTCCTGTCTGTGGAAGATAGTGTTTCTAAGGATTGGACTATTCGGATACCAGATGAAATCACCTCTGTTGGCAAGGTAAGCAAGGATACCATTTACTTCATCCTCTGGTTTTTGACGAAATGTCATCCATAAGAATGTTTTGGTACCTCTGAAACCTTCAACTGAGTTTCGTATGGCTTGTGTTATATTTTCCCTGCAAATGGTGCTTTCAGCTTTATTTTCTTTTTTTGCATAGATGATCTTTGCTGCTCCATGCCAGGCTTGTGGTAGGGTAACACTTCTTTCCTTTGCTTGGGTAGATAGATAATCTTTAAGGTCACTTAAACCTGCTTTGGTCTTGGAACTCACCATGAAAATGTAATGATGGATTCTTGATTCATCATATCCTCTTATATTCTCCAGTGATTCTATCTTCTCCTTGTATGCTGAAATCAGACCTTGATTTCTGTTTTTCTGTGAGGTCTGTATTTTTTCCTTGAGATCTCTTATTTGCCTTTCATACCACTTTTGCCTGCATATCTTTTCATGTGTGATTGCTTCTTGAACAGATTCACAGACAGCCTTGCGGGTCAACTCATTAGTTTTATCGAGATGTGTACCAACTAATGCAATTGTCACCCCTGGATTATGGGACTGCACCATGTCTATCCACATTCCAATATGTTGTCTGAAATGTGATCTGCTGCTTGGGTCATAGGTCGACAAGTCAAAGGTGACAAGAACTATACTGTTCTGTGAGATGAAGATACGGTGTCCAACTCTGTACACATCATGACCTCCAAAGTCATTGATGTTAAAACTGACACCCCTTTCAATTTCCCACAGTGATTGCTCCACAACTCTAGTTCTATCAGCTTTATCAGTCAACATAGGGGTGTCATGTCTTAAGGAGCGCGCTAAACTGGTTTTCCCACTTTCTGTCTCTCCTAGGATGTTTATTTGGATTCTGGAAGACTTGACTGCTTTTGATTCTTTGAGTTTTGTTAAGAATCTGAATATTGCCTCTTGTCCTGCCTCACACACTGACTTGGGTGGTTGCTGGATGGGGTTATCGTCCACACACAGATCACGAAGTGTAAGTGAAGCAAGCTGGTGGGGTAAATGTGTAATATTATTGCTGGAAACATTCAGATACTTCAGTGCGGTCATATAACTGACATCAGAAGGGAGCCTGGATAGCTTGTTAAACTCTAGGTCCAGGTTCTCTATATGTGGTAGAGCACACACTGAGGCTGGGAGCTCTGTGAGCATATTATATTTGAGGCTTAATCTCTTCAGTGTGGTCATTTTACTGATATCAGGAGGGAGACTGGATAGCTTGTTTTTATGTAGGTCCAGGTTCTCTATATGTGGTAGAGTACACAATGAGCCTGGGAGCTCTGTGAGCTGATTACCCCCAAGGTTTAATCTCTTCAGTGTGGTCAACTTACTGATATCAGTGTGGAGACTGGATAGTCTGTTATTCCACAGGTCCAAGTTTTCTATATGTGGTAGAGCACACACTGGAGCTGGGAGTTCTGTAAACTGATTACACCCGAGGTCTAAACTCTTCAGTGTGGTCAACTTACTAAAATCGGGAGGAAGACTGGATAGCTTGTTGTGCTTTAGGTCCAGGTTCCCTATATGTGGTAGAGCACACACTGAGGCCGGGAGCTTTGTGAACTGATTCCGACTGAGATTAAGATATGTGACATTTTTTAACTGAGACAACGACCAAGGAAGTGACGAAAGTTTGTTCCCTCTCAGATTGATCCTCTTCACATTGATGCATCTATCTATGGTGTTAGGGATGTGTTCAATGTTCTGATACGCTAGCTCCAACACTGTACACTTGGTGACCATGTCTGGTATTGGTGTCTGGTCGTCTGCTGGTCTTCTCTCCAAATCTCGTAGAAAGTGCAATACCTCCACGCCTCCTTTAAATTCTTCAGCCATGCTGTCCTCTTTTCCACACTCCTGATAGTCCTGTGCACTCTTCGTAACTGAAAGGGATACAACTGTTTTACTAATATGATATAATTTATCTTGTATGTGTGTATGTGTGTGTGTTTCGATTCTCAGTGGTTTTTGAGCGCAAGGAGAAATATTGCCTCTTCTTTCTCAAACACATGTATATATTTTGTAATTGTTATGCATTTTTACATTATGATTATGCATTAAACACTGTTTCCTATGATCTTGACTTAACTTATTAATGAGCAACAACAACAACAAAAAAGCAAAACAAAAACAGCATACTATGTATTATCATTTTTACGATATATTCACTTAATATTTCTTTACTAAAATTGAAATTTCAATATTATGTAATCAGATTTCAAAAGGTCTAGGCAAAATAAAATAGTACCTAGACTTCTGGCTAGGTAAAATTTAATATAAAACTCGATTTAAAATCTTACTGGATCACACTGAAATTCCAATCCTAGTGTGATTCTAAATCTGACTAGGTCAGAATGTAAATTCATTCTTACAATCTTATAAATCGTATTATGTCGAATTGAAAGCACCATCCTAGGCCCATTAAAACCTGACTGGTTCTCAATCTGGCCTAGGCCTGCGGCACGTATGTAGCTTATTGACTAATGGAGGGAAACTTCATAAATGGGGTGTCAAAAATGAAAAGTTTCAGTTACTCGAACGGGCACTTGAGGATGAGTAAGTCATTACCTGACGACTTGATTAAGTAGGGGGAAACAATTAAAAGCGTTAGTTACTTGTAGCTTTTCAAACAGGTATTATTGGATGAGTGTGATCACCTGTTGTCTGGGACATTATAGTTTCATTGGTGTTCATATCGTGTTTGTGTCTGTCTTCACACAGGGGGGTGGTGACATCTGGATGAGGTACAGCTGAGACACATGGTGGTTCATCAGAGTTTTCAAAGGTCAGCGTCTGAGTCTGGTGCTTACTTGCTTCTTCATCCATATGAGATGGTAAAACAGCCACGGGTTCTCTGTCACTCCCGCTGCCAGTCATTGTGGCTGAAATTTCACTGTCCACTGAGCCTAGAATTCAGAATAAAGAAATATCTAGACATACTTGCATTTTATTAAGTAACTTGATAATGACATTATATAACACAGCATACTATAACTTTACGTCAGTAACTACTAACAAAACTAGCGGTGCATATTATGCAAGACTGTTAATACCCTGTATGAATCGTTTCTGACAATTTCCTCCTTTCTAACTAATATTAGCACCGGGAACACTCATTAAAACATTGAAAATATTACTTGCATCTGAAAGCAAAACTTGATCCACAATGGCAATAAATATAATACAGTGTATGGAATTAGTTTTTCATCAATTACAAAGATGGAATGTTTGTGAGGGAAGTCTTTCATGCGAAGAAATGGTATTTTCAAAGCTCTGTGGAAAGAAAAATATAGAACTGCTTATGGAGTACAGATTATAAGAATACTTCCTACCGTTTTTAAGTAGAAAGAAGTATTGCAAAGTACTTTTTACTACTTTTAAAATGCTTAAAAGCTTAAAATAGCCCTTTTTAAGTGAAAAATAAACTGTATATGTATTTTATCAGTGGTAAATGTCAGTTATCTGCATTCAAATTTTCGTTTTTTTTTTCTCTTTAAAAGACCGTTGATACTTTTCGTTCACATTTCATTTGCTTGATAATTTTACTTAGGTTTTATTATACTTTATGGATGCTTCAAAGACGTGGGAAACGTGACTTTACTGAATATGATATCACTCCCATTGACAGCTAGTTCCCCTACTACAAGTAACTTGCAAATTTGATTTGGCTAAAGGGATAGGAACTTTTCGTATGAGATCTATATTTCACAATAAAAACATTGTTAACAACTCAAAGAAGTAAAATATATTCTGTTTTACCGCAAAAGCGGCAGTTATAGCTATTATTCTGATATCTGAGCTTGTCATCGGACCACGTGACCCCCATAGATGGCTATACTCTTTTATAATTTCTTAAGAGATTATAACAAAAAAACACAAACGTTTTTAGAAATAAAGGGGGACTAACCTTGAATGTAGAAATGGATTCATTAACCATTTGTTAGTAAGAGAAAATTGTTATTTACTCCAGGAAAATTCATTTTGGGCCAAAACGAACAGTTTTATACCTTTAATGATTTCAACGTTTTTACTTTTCAAAACATTTCCTTTTAATGTAACATTAAAGGAAACTGAAGTTTTCTTGAAATATCCATTAGATCTACCCTTACACATATCTGTCACCCAAGACTACATGTTTTTCAGTTCATTTCATAAAACCTGACAGTTGCCTTATCTTATTTACATATATAATGGTAACTTAAGACAATTTGCATTGCATGTGAATAGTCATGAAGTAACTGCCGTCATAACTAACAGCAAAATTTAACACAATCGGCATATCCTGAAATGGCAGTTCTGTATTGTGCACTTCATTCATGCTGGTCCCAATATTTTAGTGAGTTTAAGAAAAAAAATATCTAAATGCATAAAATAAATACCTTTGATAATCTGAACTTGTTGATCTAGAGACCATCTTTGTGAATCTCGATTCTGTGCACCTTTGACCCCTTCCACGCACACCTGTAACTCTCTGACTTGGTGGGTCAGCTCTGACTGAACTTTGTTCACCTGTGTGATTCTTTCAGAGATTTCCTCAAGTTTATTATGTGTATGCTGTGTGCCAATTTTTACCTCCACAAGAACGTTCTCTTCACTTCTTTTTTGGCCGTCCAGGAGTTTTGTTTCCATGATCTTCACCTGCTCTTTCACATCGTTGTCATAATCATGCCATGTTTTCAAAATGTCCTTGTTTTCCTTCAGTAAAGTAGCATCAAGATGTCGAGTCAAGATGTCATCATAGTCCTCACTGGTGTACATACTAGAGAGAGCCAGGAGGTTGGACTTAAGGCTTGAGAAATGTGCTTTAAAATCTTCATCGCTAATTGCTGCGTTGTTTGCATGGCCGTATACAATATTTCGGTATCTTTTAACTCGCCCAATCGTGGCTTCTCTTGACGTGTCTGTGTCAGAGGGGTTGTCCCATGCATTCAACCCTGGACGTGAATTCAATGTTGTGATGTTTCTCAGCAAAAGCACAGTCAGTGTGATGTCTAAATCACCAACAGTCACTGATGGGGAGGGGTTTCCACCAGGATACAGCTGGTTCTGTTGATGTACATTAAGTATTCTTGATCTTACTAGTCTATCCAGTTTTGTCCTGACAGGTCCATCACCTAGCACCCCACATAGCAACCCATTCTGGGGGTCAAAAACACTGGAATAGCTTTTTGTTAGTTCTTCCCGAAGAACATCTTGCAAGACCGTCAAACCATACTCCACAATCAGAATGGTCATGCGGAAAAAATTTTCCTGTTTATAGTCGGGCTGTGTTATTGCTGTTGCCATGGTTACCGCCACTTCTTCATCTCTCGTCTCTACTGTAATGTAATAGAAGGTAAGAGAGACTTAATAATAATGTATGCCTCATTTTCACAACGCCATCTAATACATCAGATGTATGTAATGAAAGTCTAAATTTGGCAATTAGTTTAAATAGAATTGCAGTGTAAAAATTTCAACAAGATGTTGGTGCAATAACCCTTCACTCTTTGTGGATATTTCCCCCGTCAAAGTTTGTCTAAAATTATCTTTCAATCTTTACTCTTTCGAGGACAGTTTAAAGTTACCTGACATATTTTCGTGAAAACTTAATGACCAGCCAAGTGTCTCCAGTTCATTCTGTACTCAATTCCGTACCCAAGCAATTTTTTCTCTTGAGTAGATCTTTTCGAAGAGGGGGTTTAAATCAATATTTTTAAAAAATGTAGCTTCAAACTTAAAAACTTCGACAAAAATGCTCTTCTCCGTATTTGCCCTTTATTCATTTATTTGCTGTTGTGTATATTGCAGTTATGTTTGTCATGAATTTTTAGATATCAGAAATCAATACAATGACATCTCAGCAGCAGTAAAACGAGACAAAAAACGACATTCGCATATTATTGCCATATACGTTCTTGTGAAAATTGCCACCACATAAAGGGAAATGCGTGTGATTAATTACGAAGTTCCTTATTTCTTTTTCATCATCAGAACTCTCTTTTGTTGCTATTTCCTAAATTATGTCATAAAATATATTCCGGCTTAATGGTTGTTACGTGGACTTTATTCTTGAAGCTACCCAGATTGTTAATCGAATGTACAGAGAACAAGAATCAATCAGAATCAATTGATGAAACTGGATAATTTGACACATAACAATCAAATAAAAGACGCTCACAAAAAATTGACGACTACAGAGAACAATGTTCCACTTGACAAAGAATGAGTCAATACTAGTCACTGATTCCAACCAAAGCGGGAAAAGGGTTTCGATCTGTAGAGAAGCATATCGATGTATACGCGTCTATTATTTTTTGTGACCCAAGCTTATATCCCGAATAAAAAAAATATTAGTGTAAGGAGACCTGTCAACCTATTGTAATGATAACTTTTATACTGCACAAAACGCAATCCGAAATTCCACGGTTCATGTCAGATTTACGTATACTTGCTCAAAGAAAACCCAAGGACACATAATGACTAGTTTAAGGGTCTATTTTGTTCACGCTCCCTAACTACGTGATCTACGTGAAGTCTCAAACTTCTTAATCCTCTCCTATAACTGGCGTCCGAGTTGTTGGCTCTCCCAAGTGGTCTCTAAAGGTTTGCTCCCTAGACACTTATTCAGCAGGCTTATATCCCAATTTTTATCTTAGGTGGATCCAGTGCTGCACTATTGCTTGGTGCATACAAATCTCAATTACTCTAATTGCATGCGTCAACTTGTGTTATATAATTACATGTAAGGTCATGAAGTCATAAAACAAGTCGAGTGCATAAAAAACTCCTTAAAATTAATTTTCAAGTTTAGGGATCATATTTGTGATCTGTACTCTATGGTTCTTTTGTTGTACTATTAAGGAATTTGACAACAAATTCTAGTAGGATAGCGTTTGCACATTTCACATTAAGAAAACTAAAATTTTGAAAATGGAATTATCCACATTGCCCGTTTTGGACTTGTTATCGTTAACGGAAGACGCACCAGTTATTGGCGCATCACAGTTATATCTCTTTCTTCTTTTGATGCATTTCAGCAACATAAGGATCGCGATAGTGGTGACGAGTACTGCTGATGATATAGAAATCAGAAGACGGTTTACTTCATCATCTCAAGCACGCTTTCCATGTCATTCATGTCGCGGATCTCAGAGTGAGATCTAGACTAACTTGAAAGTCAGCTTGGTATGTGGACTTCTTAAGTGTTTGTAATGTTATTTTTAATGAAATGGTTGCAAATGTAGTCACCGTTTAAAAGATATTTTATTCATATTGTTAATTATTTATTTTCCTAATGTTGAAAAAGGACACCTGTTCATTTTTATGAGTCAGGTAAAATCTGTTTATGAGTCTGTGAAATGCGTACAAATTTATTATACTAAAATATGCGAAGGCATTGAATGTACGTCAAAAAAAGTATATAAACTCGACACCCAATGATCAAGCAATACATCCAAAACTAGGACTATGAGTGTCCCTAGATAGAAATGAGTAAAGAACTGCTAATATGCACGGACTTCGCTTTGCTTTAATTAAATAAATCCATGCAAGGGTTAAACACGGCATGGCGGTCCCAGCTGTAATATTTATAAAAAATTACCCTTCGTTGTATTTATATTCGAGACGCAACGTGTATGGAACTTTGAAAGAAACAAAGTTACACCTGTAATGTTTTACATATTTAAAATAAATTTAATTTTCTTAAAGACAAACAAAAACAATCTTTGCTTATAAAATTTATTCCAAAATAGATCTGCATTTCTACTACACAGAGGGATAGAATAAGGGTTATTAAGATGAACAGGTCAAGTGAAGTCTCTCAAAGAATAAACGTTTTAACATCTTAATCTTAGCTTATTCGACACAAATTTATCCTTTGTCCTTAAAATGATAAAAACGCAAATTATCTGACTGGTTTACTTACATTTTAAAGTTTTGGTTATCAAAAAGTGACAGACATTTAAGCCACTCAAGTTGATAGCAATTTAGCGTGAATCCCCATGGGGTTAGACCGATCCTGTTGGATTGATCTAGGCATGGGAACCCAGTTTTGTATGGACCCAGGGTGCTTTTTGGATAGTTTTAGGGATTCCTGGATATCCTTCTATAATAAGCACCCCATTTATGGGAACTGGGCATAACAGTTGGAGACTCTGGCGTAGGAGGCTATAAATTTCAGAAATTCCAAGAGTCTGTCTGCTAGAAGTCTGATAAAAAACGTGTTTTACATATATGCCAACGATGTGTGGGGAACCCCTTTAAGACCACCCCGGGAACCCACCTTACATAAAATAACTTTTTTATAAGATAACCATAGGGGTTCGACACAATGGGCTCACATTTTTGGATAACGCTACCCTTTTTCAATTGTTACCTAGCAATTCGAGACTCTTATNAAAATATTTAGTTATGACTTTAAATATTTAGTGTTCAAGGTTTAAATAGTGTTAAAAATGTATTAACTGAAAGTTTTACTTCAGGTATGGAAGTTTCATCAAGTAGTTCAAAAGAGTTTTACAGAGTTGAAAGCAATGGCCAACTATAGACTTTCACCAAAGTGAGTACAGTGTGTGATGATGAGTAAATTCTTACCCTTAGCAAAATCATGAATTTTGAAATCTGTCACATGCATGAGCAGCGTTCTTCAAAGATAGATACATGTCCTGGACGTGCGGGAAAAATTTACCCATGTCTTATAGTATAATATGCATTATATCCTTTGATATCATGAGGGCCTCTAAAATAGTATATTAAGGATAGTCCCCTGTGGGATCTCAGCCAATTCATATGTTTACTGTTATGTAACTACCTGCCTCTACCTGCCCCTAAATTGTTGGCTCAGCAGCAGAGGAGGATAATGTAAAATGTGCTTTGATCATGTTCTACCAGTACCCAGTACAAAGTCTAATTAGCTGTCTTTGTTATTTCTCAGGTATGAACTTCCCAATGTGGGTGGGAGCTGGGTAAAGAGAGTAGAGTTGGACCAGCACCTCCAGCACCTGTATTGTTGCTCAGACACAGATCTCCATGCCTATGACCTGCAGGGAAACCTGCTGTTCCAGTTCAACAAGTAAGAGGAGAGCCACTACATGGTGTGGCTTGTCTTAGTAAAAATACCACCAGGTGGAAGCACTAATGAAGTACATGTAGTATACTTCTGAAGACAGTTTAGTGATGTGAATCAAAGGAATGTGGAGATGTCATATTTATTAGATATGATGGTGTATGAGTTGAAAAAGTTGTTAAAAAATAATAATGATTTTTATTAATTTTCTATGGGACACACATGTACTACATGAAAGCAATGAAAATGGCTTTTAACTTCTTGTCTGTTGTTTTCTCCATGTAGTGCTCATTCCATGTCCATAACAGGGTGTGCATTTTCCCTGCACTCTCGGCTGCTCATCACTTGCTCAATGGATACAGAGGGTAAGAATATATTTATAGCTCATACAGTATATTCATTATTCACCTAGATCTGAACTATTAAAAAAGTGTGAAGTATACATGTACTAAGAATATGACAATATGGCTAAACAATATGACTAACATTTAGTGGCTCTTTTTATGTTTGTAGTCAAAGATTAAATTGTAACATTTTTCCTCCCTAGTTAAAGTATGGAGCATTACTGGTGGCCTGGTGCACACATTCAGAGGTCACTCCAAAGCGGTCACCAACCTGGTGCTCCACCCAGAGACGTCCTCCATTGTCATTACGTCCTCACTGGACGGCAGTGTCCGGCAGTGGTCACTGGACACTATGGACATGTTGTACAGGTATTGGAACATGTTTTAACTGAAGAACACATGAAGTACAAAATCTTTGAAAACTATTGTCAGACTCTGATTTAATTTAAAACCAAATCACTTTACCCTCCTGAATAACTGTCCTGCCTGAACATTTCATTTAAATTTGGTTAATAAAATACCAACACCGCGGAAAACGTAAACCTAGGTCAGAACTTATAAATAAGAAACAATCAGTTTAGTTTTTCCTGTAATACCTGTTCAGGGGCATTTAATTGTGTGTTTTTACTGGTCACCCGTCCCGTATTATTGGTTGTTAGACACTGAAGTGTCTATATTCCAAGAATATTTGTTAAACACTGAAGTGTCTATATTCCAATAATATTAGTGTAATCTCATCCGAGCCTGACTGAAGGCAAATGCACTGGCTGTACGAACTTGTGGAAGAATATGTTCTACACAGTGTTTGCCTCTTAGGAAAATTAGTTGCAGGACCAAAAGTCCAGTCATCTTGAAAAGTAGCTGGACTGAATGTCTGCCGGGTGGGAAAACTTCTCAGCCCGTTCTGAAAGTTGTCAGCCCCGGGCAGATGGTCCAGCCTTAATTTCTAACACTGGTTCTACATATATGTGGCATAAACTTGTCATACTTTGGGGGTATAATACGAGCATGTACATGTATCGACCATGTGCCTATATATGTCCTACAGAAAATAGATTTCCGAAAATATTCTTATTATCTGTTCCAGTGTTGTGATTTCCTCTGATGGAGTGCTGTGGATGGGTATTACGGAGGATAAAAGCCTGTATGCCAGCACAGTAAGGAACATTACAGTGTGGAATCTCAACTATGTGTGTCAGTTCTGGGGTCTAACCAGAAGTAAGCTGATGTCTCTGCAGCTTTACCCCAGTGAGAAGAAATCTGCAAGGGTGGTTGCTGAAGGAGACGACAGCAGGTACAAGAAATAGATTTTTGGAAAATGAATGAATAAAAATAATTACCCTACCCAAAGCCACTGAGAAAATAATGATCAGTTTTCGTGTTGTTAATTTCTAATTATTGAGAATGAAATTCTATAGTCCCTTTCTCTGTCAAGAGTGTCTCAAAACCTAGAGGCTTACAACTCAATAACAGTTTTATGATATGATTTTATATTTTTATGATAATTCTGTTAACAGTTTTGGGTATGATAAATTAAAAGTGTTGAACTTTCCCGGCAAATTACATTTAATTTTGATGTGTAAAAGTCTTATGCTGATTTTGAGCATATAAGCACTTATGATCAGCTGACTTGTTACTACTTACTTGATGTAAACACAATCTCTGTTATTCTTTTCAGCATCCGTATCTTCAACCGAGCCAGTAGGAAGAATCTGTCCATAGTATTGCCACCTCCACCAATCTCCCCTCTACAACATATCAAACATATGACCTACTGCAGGGAAATTAATGTCATGTATGTCCTCATCAATGCAAAGGAACTGTGGCTGTATACAACAAGGTAGGGATAATGTGTTAGACATGATTCACAATATTAGACAGATATGTAGTGCACAGTCCTGAAGGCACTACGATGAATAGTGCCCAGTCGCATCAGCCAAGGGAATGAATCAAAACAGTCTGTAATAACTGACCAATGAGAGGGCTAGAATTCACTATGACCTAGGTCAGAGAATATTCCAGACCCTTGGAATTGTGCACAGTCACATAACAAATTGTGCTTATGAATATTCGAAATAGTCCATGGAAACTGACCAGTCAGATGCCTTCTGTTCTACAAGAAGTATAATAAATCAATATATGATTACACAATGAAGGAATTGCATTTACTACAGACAGACAAGTGGCAAGACATGCAGGTAATGTTTATGGAAAAAAAAACACTATGGTCTATGGATAATTTTTTGACATCTCACTAAATCATATGGTTTTCATGTGTAGATACTAGTACTTGAACTCCTGATGATTCGCAGTACTGTGTTATCAGACAGGAAAAAACATGACTCAGAGCTTTTCAAAATTTCTTTGATCTGATTGATGGCATGAAAAAATTAGTTGATGTTGCAATCATTGTCAACAATTTCAGATCAGATGGTCAGATATTAGACAACAATTTAGTTCAGCTGTTAAAGCCAGGATATTGAAGTTCTGTGTGTTCTCATAACATGTTTCGTGTTGCTCATGTTCTGTACCTGACTGAAAGTGCTTGCATTTTCTCTCTTTTTCTCAGAACTGACCCTGCCTGCAGGATGGCTGTGTGGGATGTCCATGACATACAGGAGTCTCTGCTGTTGGGAAATGAACCTGAGGAGGAGGGCGAAGAAGAGGAGGAGGCAGAAAAGGAGAAGGCAAAAGGAGAGAAGAAGAAAAAAGGAAAGGGAGGAAAAGAAGAGAAGGAGGAAGTTGAAAAGAAAGCTCAAGAGGCTGCTACTGCAAAGAAGTAAGGGGGGAATTGATTTCACTAAACAAAAGAGGATTTTAAATAATTCTTATTTTTCTGTTTTGAAAAATATAGGTATATAATTGAGTGAATTTAAATGGCACAGCACTGTAATATATTTAATGTATTTATCATTATAGAATTAAATAAATACACCAACATGAATATATTGTATTCATACCAATGCATGCCCTACAACTGAAATGGCTAAATGACCAACAACTAGCATTTTTTCACTCCAATATTTCAGATTGCGTAAAAATCTCACCAAGAATGTCCCCAACCACCGCGCCACAGAGCATGGTGTGGGAACAGAAACCATCACAGATGTGAACTGTGTCTGTGCCCTTGACTCCATAGCCATCATGTGGTCTGAGGATGGGATGGTCTGTCCTCTCACACAGCAGTATCTACTGATGGGACTGGAGGTGAGGCACATATGGCAGCTCTGTCTTTTAATTTAAAATGAGTTAATGTAATTTAAACATACATGTGTAGCTGAATATGTGGCCTAGGAAATTTTGTAATGGTAAGGCATTTCTAGTCAACTGGCATTGAGACATACTGGTATTTGGATAATTCAGAAAAGATGAATTTTTTGGATCTGTCAATATAAGTATGGGAGTTGAGAACTCATCACACAAAGTACCAATAAGGTAAAGCACATGTAGCAACTTCTTCTTGTGAGCATATAAATAGAATTTATATATTTGAGAATTAAATAGGATACTGATATTTGTTATATAGGTTGATTACAGAAAAGTCTGTTTTCTTTTGTGTATAATGCTGGTATATTGATGCATGTAGTTGTTCTGGGACCTACTTTCCATAAATAACATTGAAAAATATGTATACAATTAATGTCAGCATTTTTAAATTATTAACACTGATATAAGATATAGAATGATGAGTGAACCTTAGGAACATAAGTTTCACAATATTTTATGTTTATCATTGTATCAGGATGGAAGAATTCTCTTCATGGATCCCATGGTGAAAGCCAAGAAATATTTCCAGTTTAGGGCAAATAAAGATCCAGTAAGTACATGTTGGATGGATAATATCTCAGAAACTGGGAAAACATATTCTTTAATCATAAAAAGAGAATTGTGAGGGGCTAAGCTCCTCTGAACTACTGTAGAACAGAAGAGATTAAAAAAAATCCACTCAGTTAATATACATACTTATCACACCTTGCCTAATCACATCCCATTTTGCAAAGCATTCTGTTAGCAGGATATCTGTCTGCAGTAGGTTTCTATTACAGACCCTTTAGACCCTTGTCTACATGTATGTCTGTCTGTCTGTCTGTCCATTCATTGAGCAGTCTCCATATATACTACTACTGCTACAGTAACTATTATTATTATTATTATTATTATTATTATTATTTCAGATTGTAGATATCAAGCAGAACCTTGCTCACAACACCTTCCTGACCCGGTGCTCCCAGAAAGGTGCTGATACAATCCAGATCTGGTCCCTGCCAGACCTGGTGCTACAGTATGAGGTCTTCTGTGCCCCTCAAATCACAACATATGCCAGACTGGTAAGTGGTGGTGGGGTGGGGTGAGGTACTGGGTGTGGGGTGGGGATATTCCTGCTACACTACATATGCCATATTGTCAGGTGGGGTGGGGTAGGGGTATTTATCTGATTCGGTTAAATATTTGAAGCCTCTTCTAATTACTATGCTGATTGTTTTAGGGTTATTGTGTGTGTGTGTGTGTGTGTGTGTGTGTGTGTGTGTGTGTGTGTGTGTGTGTGTGTGTGTGTGTGTGTGTGTGTGTGTGTGTGTGTGTGTGTGTGTGTGTGTGTGTGC